ATTGCAAGTTAACAGCTCGAGGCCGGCGGAGATCCATGGCTTGAAGCTGGCTGATGTCAGCGATGGACCATGGACCGGGGGGGAAGTCGGTGGACGTTGGCAGACAGAAGCTGGTGGGATCTGCCTGCTGAAGCTGCTGAGGCCGCAAGGCTGGTGGAAGCTTGGTGGATATCGGTGGATGGAAGCCCTGGTATGTATGTGAATGGCTGGTGGAGCAAAGATGTATGTGTGTCAGGGGGGCTGGTGTGTGTGTCTGAATGGGTGTGTGAATGGGCTGGCTGGCGTTCCATGGGGCTCACCGGGGTGTGTGTGTGACCTAAGCATTCGGGAGCTGGCAGAGGTTGGCTTCAGAAGCGGAATGGAAGAGATGAACAGGTGGATATTCCTGGTGGAAGCCAGTGGATGTTGGCAGGCGGAACTTCGGGATGAAGTTGCCAGAACATTGGTAACTTCGGGATGAAGTTGCGAGAACATTGGTCAGTGGATACGCCTGGGTTGAAGCCGGTTGACGGCAGTGGACGAGCTGGGTCCTTAGATTTTTTTTTTCTCTTTCTATCGTAGGGCCTGAAGCTTCCTCTTCCCCAGGGGGACGCGAGGGACCAGAAGGCAGCCGTCCTGCTGGAGCTGAACCAGGCCCTTGTCTCCACTGAGGATATCCGTTTAGCCTCTTTCCCAAAACCAATAAAAGAATTCTTCCATAATGGTTTAGAGGTGTTGTCTTGTTTGTCAGGGGATGTCACAGGATTATCTTCCCCATCCCCTCATGATATCGAGGGCCCAATGCCTGGGGTGGATCTTTATGAAGACATGCTGTGGGGCCTTGTGATGTCACAGGAACTGGGAACATAACATTTCTCCATGCATGTGTGAGGGAGTGAGCTAGGCATTGTGGGTTCCCTGTCTGAGCTCCGGAGCAAGTACTGTATGTAATGTGTTGGACAGACGCAGGAAGCCAGTGAGCCCTGCTGCCATTCGGAGAGGATTGGAGTTGGGTACCCAAACACTATGGCCACCCCATAACAATAAACGAGACTCGCTCCTTCCCTTCCACCACGGCTCCTCACATTTGTTTGCCTGGCCTGGAGATTCAGGGGAACCCAGCCATTTCCTGGCACAGCAGCTCATTCTCTGAGACCTGGCAAGCCTCTACTTCATCATCAACACCATGAGCACTCCATGGACTTGCAGAGTACAAGTGGGGAGAAAATATGCCACTTCGAAGAAGCTTCCAGTCCAGCCTTTCACGCCAGTGCCACAACCGAGGAAATGGAGATGGGCAATGATTTGGAGATGAAGAACAACCTTTAGAACACGGCCAAAGAGCCCGAAAAACCTACAACAACCATGTTATATTTTAATGTGAACGTTCATGGTCTGAGGAAGTGGACTTGTCCACAAAGGCTTACACTAAATAGATGTTAGTCTTCCAAAACATTTCTGTCTACATTATCTTTCATTTTTCTTCTGTTTTCACCTTGGAAGTGCCAGTGAGAAACAATATGCTCTTATAAAAAGGAGGAACGAAACGAAGCTGGAGATGACTAAAGAAAACTGTCATAACTGTTATCTTGTATATTAATTAAAAAACCCACCACAACTGAACCAAACATGACACGAAACAGAAAGGTTGTGTCACTTGAATGTTGTAGCATTGTAAAGACTGACAGCTATATTTTAATGTGTGCTGTTGTGGATCAGGTCCACCTTCTCAGGCAGTTATCTTGAAGTTGAGCAGAGATTAATGGCATTGTATCGTCATTAATCCTTACTTGTTAGTAAAGCTTTTTGTTTCCACGAACCATCAGCTAGTCAAAAAATGTCCACACAGCAGCCTGGTGGGCTAGAAAAATCACCTTGTGTAGCTAGGCGGTATTAATAAGGTTGTTTTCATTGTTCATTCTTGATGGGCACATTCTTTGTGCTTATATCAAAGTCACCTCGAGCAGCAAGGAATTAAAAGTGGCAACAATGGATTTGGAAGTTAGAGGAGAAGGATGGGCCGAGACAAATATTTCCAAGCATAGCCAGACAAAAGTGAAAGAAAATAGAAAACCAAAACAGCTATGGCATCTTAAAAGACAGTTATATTTCATTGTGAATTTTCATGGATACACCCACTTCTTCAGACATATTAGAGTGAAGCAACACCACAGGATATATACAAGTTAGGCACAGGAGATAAATTAGCAGGGTGGCAATAAGATTGTTGTCACAAATTATTAACAAAGAGAAGGCTGGTTTCAAAAGATTGTCTGGTTGTGGCAGAATCCTCAATCAAGAGTCCATTAACTTGTACAATCTAGCTGCAGTTGATCTGTCCTCAGAGTCTTGTTCATATACAGTACAGTACATGATTGTAGGGAGAACTGTGTGTTTATACTGTGCTAAGAATTACTGGTTGACATTTAATCCTTTCAATGCATTGTGGAATCTAGGTATGTATCTTTTCTCATCCATCTCTCTTTCCAGTCTTGTTCTGTAATTATTTTTCTCTGTCCTAGTCACTTGTAAGTCCTTTACCAAGTGTCCTGAGAGATTGAAATGTACTGAAACAGATGTTTGCATTTTCCAACTTCCCATGTTAGCTTTATGCCCATTAATTCTCTAAAAACTGTCCTATTTGTCCTACGTGGAGTGCTGACAGGCATTGTGGGCAAAATGAGCAAGTAAACGTGTCTGTGATGTTGTGAGTGACATTGCTGAGGCCTGCAATTGTGTTGGCAGACCAGATGTGGCCACAAGGTCACCATGTAGATTTGCAGCAGGGTCTAATTTCCATTTCTAGACCCATGTTGTGTCATTGGTTGTGTGTTGATAGTTGTTTGAGATATTTCCAAAATTTTGTCCGCCAACGGCCGCCAATGGCCTCCAGAAATGTCTGGGAGGCGGGCAGGCTAATGAGGAATGGCCAGGATCTCAAATGGACGTGGCTCTCGTGTACCTCCCACGATGCTTTCGAGGCTGACATCCTTTATTCCATCGGGCAGCTGGAACTTGAAGGCATGGAGCAAATTAGCAAAGAAAACGAAGAGCTCAGTTTGAGCTAATGGCTCCCCCAAGCAAGCACGGCGACCTGCAGGAGGACAAAATTATTTTTGAGTTACCTGAGGATTTAAAACAGGGGAAGTGCATTCCAGTGGCACCCTGTTGCTCTTGCAGATTTTTTTTTAGTTATGGTTTGTTGTTAAGCAGGTAGCTAGCTGCTAAACTTGGTATTTACTTCAATAAGATTTCCTGTAAGCTCTGTAAAGTAAGTTTTATTTAAAGAGGAAACTTTTAATCACCACCCTCTTCCTTATGGTCTCCTCAGGATTAACTTTGCCTTGAGCAAAGATATTGTTTATTGCAAGAGGACTAAGCCCTTTGTGATTTAAAGGATTTAGATCTTAGTTGTTAATTTCCCTCATATTCTCACAGCCAGCTGGTCCAGCTGTCGCTTTAGTTGCTTCTACCATAGAAAGGGGGTGTTTTGAATTGTGGTGCTGGAGGAGACTCTTGAGAGTCCCCTGGACTGCAAGGAGAACAAATCTATCCATTCTAAAGGAAATCAACCCTGAGTGCACATTGGAAGGACAGATCCTGAAGCTGAGGCTCCAAGACTTTGGCCATCTCATGAGAAGAGAAGACTCCCTGGAAAAGACCCTGATGTTGGGAAAGTGTGAAGGCAAGAGGAGAAGGGGACGACAGAGGAGGAGATGGATGGACAGGGTCATCGAAGCGACCAACATGAATTTGACACAACTTCAGGAGGCAGTGGAAGACAGGAGGGCCTGGTGTGCTCTGGCCCATGAGGTCACGAAGAGTCGGAGACGACTTAACGACTAATAAACAACAAAAACTGATTCTATGATGAAGTAAAATGTACTCTGTAATGAATTTTACTTTACTTTAAGAGCATCTCAATGGAGGGGGTGTTCTGAAGCAAATATTTTCTTCAGATTAAATCTCATCAGGTTTGTGGGAGAAAATCTATTTCTTAACACTGAGAAATTATATAATTCTAAACGGTAAAATAAAATAACATGGGGGGGGGGAATTCTACAAAGCTCTTTCTACTAAACCTCTTTTAAAAAAGAGGGCAGCATAAAGAACCCATTTCCAAGCTAAATCTTACTGTGACACTGTAAGATCATTCTTTACTAAGTCGGCCTATGTTAGAGCAGGTATATTCTTATATCCTTCCTCTTAAACATTTTGTATTCTGCTATCTCTTTTCTCCCTTAAAACAGTGACCATTGGCTACTGGAGGGGCACAAAGCTATACATGTAGACAGTCAGGGTTTTCATTCACAAGTATCCTGGAAAAACTCACAAGTATGTTTTTCCTACTGTGGACACCGACAACTGGAGACAGATTGGTTCAATTTCACAATTGTGGACTCACATGCAAATCTAAACTCGGTTATGCCTGAAAGTTCACATGCAACTTTAAAAGTACATGCAAACCCTGGAGCAGTTTTTACAAGTGTACCCATGTTGCTTTGTTTCTGCATCTATAACAAAAACCAACCAACCAACCAACCAACCAAATGAAAAAACTAAATTGCTTAGCCTTTCAGTTGCCTCAATATTTTCATAATTTAGCTTTGGTTTTTTTCTCCCCCCCCCCATCTGCAGAATCAGTGTCCGCTGATCCACTTAACCGCAGCCACCTGTGGCCAATGAAACCGGATCACCCAAAGCAGTTTAAATTCTGGCAAATCCATTCCTTGGGTCCAGGTCAGGTTTTCAAAATGTCTGGAGCACAGAGGATCTGTGGTAGAAGGGTTGTGGGGTGGGGGGATTATGATAGGAAAAAAGTTCCTCCCACCATACAAGAAGGTTATTTATAAATTAAAGTTTAAAAACATACTTGTTATGTCTTTGCAATGCATTCGCTACTACAGTATTTGTGTTTTTCAGTATCCACAGAGGGTTCAGAATGGATCTCCTGTGGATACAGAGATCCTGCTGTATGTGCAGATATTATGTATATTAGGGGAGGTCACACGTGAACAGATATACTCTGCAAATAAGGCTGAAGAAAGCACTGCATCAAGGAAATTGCTTCCAAACATGTATAATATGCAAAATGCATAGATTAGGAAAAATGCACAAAAATGCATACAAATTTTTATCCAGATTTTTTTTCTTTTAGGAAAAAAAGTTTTTGAAATTTTGGGAAGAACCCTACTTTTAAAACTGAAAAATTCTGAGCCTTCCAGCCAAACTGAATAAATGCAGGCATGGTATGGGGTGGGGGTGAGGGAGGACTAAGAAACTGAAATAGACAGATTTGCTTATTGCTTCTGGAAACCATAGTTCTGGAGTCCAGATTCAGTCTGGCTCACTTCGGAGAGCATGTGCAAACAGCGATCCAGATAAAATGATAAAAGAGGGTCTGTGTGGGAAGCAATAACCCGAAATGGGGTGTGTGAAGGGAGGAACAAGTGTGTGAATAGACATGTGATTCTGGCTTGCTATTGAACCTGAATCAACGTACAGTCTTTGTACAGGTTCATAGGTTACAAGGGGATCCTAGCTTGATATCCTAGTTTGTGACCAGTATGAGAGACAGTTTCCTAGTCGAAATATTATTAGAAACTGGTTTGGCAAGCCTGCTTATTGAAGCAGAAATTGGGGGGTCCAGAGTGGTCGTCGTGTGGGAAAGAAGGTAGGTGAGAAAGGGGTCCACTCAAGAAGAAAGCTCATTTCCTGGTCCATGGATTATTGGATCAAGGCTGAGATCTCTGAAATGGATCCCTTTTTCAGAGCTGAAGGTGGTGAAGACAATACATTTGTGGTAGTGATTTCTGGTCATACACTTTTCTTCTGTGTGGGATCAGCAGTGGTGTGAGGCAAAAATATAAAATAAAAAAAAATCAGTGACAGCATTGAGAGGTATCCTCCACCCGTATCAAATTTTAAACTCTCTTTCCAATAAAATAAAATAAAACCAAATAATTTTTAAAAATAACTGCTTTCCAGACCATTGTCAACCGCATCTGTGCAACAAGGTACCAAACATGCTCAAGTGCTAAGCTGAGGATTGTCTGTCAGAAGAAGGGCAATCCAAAGCTGGAAGAAGTTCATTTTTCAAAGCTATCTCGCTATCTTGGATGGAGGATTGTGCGAACTGTCGTCCCAAAAGGAACATCTCTGAACTCTGACTGTCTCCATGCGAGCTTTCCAGAATCTGTGAGCGGCAATATGAGGGAGTCACGGTTTCTTTGGCCATTTTGACAAATTTAAAAATAAAAACCCAAATCCTTTCTTATCAGCGGATGACTGTATCTAAAGGAAAATGCTTCTGAGGTCACCTCAAGGGAAAGCTGCTTCCGTCGATAACAACTGCACATTCCCAGGTAATGTCACGAGATGTAACGCTGTTCAGCGCTTGCACTCTGGGGAGAGAGGTGGCGTCGGTTAATGAATTACCTATTGCATAAGGAATGAACGCATCGTTGTTCACAAAGTTCCCCTCTGAATCAAGGAAGTGTCCAGGGTTGAACTTCCAAGGAGTTTCCCAGCAGTCTGGGTCATATAGCACAGAGTGCTTGTTGGGTAATATGAAAGTTCCCTGGAAGGGGGAAGAAAATGTGGAGGGGAAAAAGTTAACAGAGGGTGAGACTATGTTAATACACTGATGCACAGAATGCTCTGGGACTGAACTGTTCAGTTTCACCTTATTTTTCATTCCGCCCCCAATCCATACTTTCCCTTCCACCTCTGGGACGTCTTATTTTTTCCACCCATCAAACACATTCTCATCGATTCAGACGGTGAGTCAATGCGACGGGTGACCAGAAACTGACTCTCCCAGCTTCCTAGTTTAAATAGGGTGAGAGGAAGCAAAAGAGCACTTGGGGGGTGTCAGTTCCCAATGTTCTTGGACTACAACTCCCAGAAGCCTTCACCATTAGCTGTTCAGGCAAGGGCTTCTGGGAGTTGCAGTCCAAAAAATGTCTGGAGACCCAAGGCTGGGAACCACCCGCTCTACAGTAACTCTGCCTCCTGCAAATTTGGATGGCTGCAGTACAGCCACCTTAATTAACAAGGTGCTAACTGGCAATGTCCTTCACACTCTCTGCTGACTCCTATGTGATCCGTTAAAGCACGTTCACCCAGGGAAACCCAAACAGGACGGGAGAGAACTTCGTCACTTGCTTGTATGTTTTTTTTTACACAGCTCTTCAAGGTGGCTAGCCAGTTAAATAAAAACATTATCTTTTGGTGGCTATAATGCATAAGAGAACATTCTGGCATGGTTAGCTTTCCTGAAGAACTTGTTTGCTGACGGACATGTGAAGACTACCCCTCAAAAAAAGAGAAACAGAGAGAAATTTAGGGGGAAAAGAAATAAACAACACAAAGAAGTGTCCTTTTTGGAAGGTAAATGCAATCTTGGAAGCGTGAGCCCGTCGGCAGGGCCTGTTGCAGGATCTGGCATACAAAGGTTTCAAAAGACCGGTCTCGCAAGCAATGCAAGTCTGGGGAGGCAAAAAAGGGCACCCCCTGGAATGGACCGCATAAAACATGGAGGCAGTGGCTAAGGTTTTACTCACTCAAAACACCCAGAACTGTGTATATAAAGCTTTGTATGTGAGAGAAAATCTATAGAGCTAGAGAAAAATAGGGATGTGGTGGCGCTGCAGGCTAAACCGCAGAAGCCTTTGTGTGCTGCAGGGTCAGAAGACCAGCAGTCGTAAGATCGAATCCACGTGACGGAGTGAGCTCCCTTTGCATGTCCCAGCTCCTGCCAATCTAGCAGTTCAAAAGCATGTAAAAAGGCAAGTAGATAAATAGGGACCACCTCGGTGGGAAGGTAACAGCGTTCCGTGTCTAAGTCGCACTGGCCACGTGACCACGGAAGATTGTCTTCAGACAAAACGCTGGCTCTATGGCTTGGAAACGGGGATGAGCACGGCCCCCTAGAGTCGAACACGACTGGACAAAAATTGTCAAGGGGGACCTTTACCTTTACCTTTAGAGAAAAATAAGCAACAGTCAAATCGAGCTTCTATTTCTGCGCCTAGAGATTGCTGATAAGCTCATAAGAGGACCACGAGTGGGGTGGGGGATTGCTTCTGGATTACAAAATTTAGGGCACATCTATCCTTTTAGTGCATGATGCAGGTTTGCTTGTGTTAAACAAAGGCTTTTAATTTCACGCACAGGCCAAATGGTACCATATTCCACATGCTAAGTTCTGACTTGAGCACCTTATCTTGCTAAAACAGAGAGTTAAGTTTGACAAGAAAACAAACACTGCATATATTTCAGTTTCTCACGACGTTATTACTCTATTATTCATTTAAAACATGTATATTTCACCTTTGTCCTCACGAGAACCCAAGATAGCTTACAATATTAAAAATAAACAATATAATAACTGGAAGAGAATCGGGGGAGAGCACAGCCACCCAGCTTTTAGGCATGTGGTCAATTGCGAAAAGGCCTCTTCTCTTTCTAAAGCTGGGACAAAATAGCCCCCCTTCAAGATTTCCATACATTTTTCATCTCTAAGTAAAATATAAGGCTGGGGAAAACAGAAGGATCGGCCAAACAGGTCTTTAGTTTAAGGCTACCATGTTATGAGCTGGCAGGATAGCACAGTGGTTTAGGTATCTATCCAGCTGTGGAGGCAAGAGGTAGAGAGTTCAATTCCCCACTGGGCTTCTAGGGAGAAAGAGCCAGCTTGGGTGGCCTTGGGCCAGCTGCACCATCCCTTCTTTGTGTTGGCCCCAGAAGAAGGGAATGGTCAACCCCTTCTGTGTCTTCTAAGGCAAGGAAACCCTGAAAGGGCCACCATGAGTCAGAACCGACTTGATCATTATGTTTTATAATGTTGTATGAGGATGACATGCCCATATTTTGCAAGGAATCCCAGCTCCCGATTGGTGCTATTCCAGTTCTTATCATGGTGCTAATACCCTTGTTTAGGACAGAGAGTGGTCTTATACCTTAGCAATCGGAAATCCCAGCAGAGTCATATCCTTCAAGCAGCACCGCATGGTCGCGATGCCTGTCACGGACGAAAAGCGCAACGTCTCGTGAAGCACAGCATTGGTGTATGGTAGTTTGACCCGGTCCTCATAAGTGATGATTTGAGAGCGTCCCATAACAGCATCTATTTCATTCTGGATCTTTTCTAGAAATAAATAATTGTCTTGACTGAATATAAACAGAAGTTATTCTTTCCCCTTTCCTTCTTCAACCCTCAGTAACAGTGTCTAGTCTACATTCGACTAGATTGGTTTACTAGCTGAATCCTTCCTTCCTTCCTTCCTTCCTTCCTTCCTTCCTTCCTTCCTTCCTTCCTTCTGCCAGGACACTACATCTGAGCAATAATTTGGGCACAATTAAGGTTCCAGTTCTATCCGTATTTGCTTAGCCACATATATTATGCATAAGGAATCTAAGTCCGAGGGTTTATCTAAATTGAATGTGCTATAGCAGGTGACAGAAAGAGGATT